CACGACACGGTGATGGTACGAAAGTAAAACGACATTCCTTGATCGGAATTACTTGCTTTGGTTATACGCGATTTACTGTTCGTCAAATGTAAATGCAGATTGATCATGGAATGAAGGCCATACGTTTGTTAGCCACTGGCTGTTAAGGACCGTTATCAAATTATATATAAATAATAATCAAAACGAAACAAACAAGGACTTCGTTTACCTGCCATATTTGCGTAGACCATTTTGCCGTATAAAACCTAAACGTCTTTCAATTTGCAGCTGCATAAGTTGCTTCATATAATGCGAGGATCAGCTCAATTTGATACTATTACAACCGCAGGACAAATATATATTTCATGTATATTCTCATACACACAAACGTAGCTATAACAAAGCAGTATGGAAAGTTGACAAAAAAAAAAGAAAAAAAAGAAAAAAAAGATATATTGATACCTAGTACTTATCACCTATCAACCGGGTTAATAGAGAGTTTTAGATTGACTCTTTTTTCTCCCCGCAAACGGCAAACGTGACCACGTTTCCATAGTTTTCGTGTATTTTACCTTTTACAAACCTTCTCGCCAAACGCAAATACTCTTTTGTTTTTCTACGACTTGGACTTTTTTGCGATTCTTTTTCAGTAATTTAAAAGAATTTTTTACGGGTCAACTGACGTTTCACGTTTGCCTTGAACGTAAATCTAAAACTCTCTAATAACTATATATAGACTTCGCATTTATAATGAGTAACATTTGATAGAAAACCTTCTCAATTGATAAATAAAATACTCAATTACCTCAAACGTCGGCAATAAGCCTATACATCCCTCAGGACTGCGGCCCTCGGGATGTATATGGCTTATTGCATGCCTCCGTTCTCGGTAATTAACTCTTACTTATTTACTTATTGTACAAATGAAAATTTTAATTGCTTTCTAATTTTTTGCTTCGTCCTATTCTGCATATTGTAGCTYGAATAGTCAACTGTTGCCTGTAACAGCCAGAAAAATTGTTTTGAGAAACTTAATGCTGCACTGAAAACGATAGACTAATACTGAACTGAACAGCAAACCACGGCCGTCACCGGGCAAAATGATTTGAACTCATTTATATTTACATTTATGATAAGAAACACAGTTATCAAGCATGTATTATTTGTGTTCCAACGCGAAACGCTTTTGTAGTTTAACAGGGATAAAAAAAAGCTTAAATCAAATCCTCACACAAAGAGGAAACGATTTCATTACCCMAATTAATCCGTAATGAAAGACAACAGTTTCTTTTTAAAGCTCTTTTTACTCGAGTTTGACGAAGGACTAACATCCGAAATGTCAGTACTGTTGATTATCAAAATATCAGTGACGTTATAGGAAGATGAAAGCGAAAATAATTAAGCTAGCTTTGCATGGTGTCGCAAATAAATCAAATATTTGAATTAAATTTATCTTGCTTCTTTTAGATCCCTAGGTAGAAGGGGTGGGGTAATAATAAATAGCTTTGGTATCATTTTCAAATAAAGGCCAAAATATTATTTCGATTTTGAAGCTAAGATTTATGAAGCTTTTCATAAACCTCTTTTGGGCATTGTATTTCTTTCTCTTATGGTCTAATAATTAAGGGATTGGAATGACGAAGTACTATAAAAGTGT